GGGGGGGGGGCATGGTTTCGATGAGATGTTATCGACTGTTGGTCATGCTGGTCTACAAGGCACGTAGAGGTAGCAATTATGATCTAGACCACAGCCGCCCAAAGTGTAATACCTGGAGTCCCAGAGTCTGAGCCTACAAGGCTGATGGAGAGTTTGTGAACCTGGGGGAGATTTCAATCACTGATTAGATGGAAAGATCAGAGCAGAGCCCTGAAGGTCAGGCTGAGAAGATAAACGTTGGAATTCTCATTCTATTCAAGACAGACCCAGGTATCTACTCTTTGTCCAGTACTATATTTGGCTTCTGTGTGACGTACAGAAATGGATCAGACAGTATCAGTACCTTTTACATACATTCCACAATCACATGAGAAAGTGCAATTGAAATGAAGAAAAATCACATCTGAGAAGGCTCAGGAAAGTTTATGTAGAGAAAGGCATTTGAGTCCAACTTTAAAGGATGGAATTTTGACGGTTGGAATGGAAGGGAAAACAAAACAAACAAACAAAAAAACACCTAGTTTTTCCAAAGGTTTATTGAACCCAAAAACTGCAGTGATTTGGTGCTGGCACAACAAGGTTTTGTCTTCTCAGCTATGGAAGCCGATGACTGAATTCATAAGGAACAATCTTCCCCTTTCTATTTTGGAGAATATTCTTCCAGAGTAGGTCAGGCTAATATGCTAGACCCAGACATGACCAGCTCGGCTGCCTCCGGTATTTTTCCTATTCTTGGGAGAAATCAGGGACACTAGGCTCGAGGGCAGTCAGTCTGGCACCTTTAAAATCACAAGCACAGAAGAAGAGCGAAGAACAAAAATTAAAAATAGCCCTGCACATCAACAGGACAGTAAAGGTGCCCGAATGTTCCCTTTTTACATTAGCAAAGACTTACAAACTATGGCTTTTAGGGAGGCATTCAGAATGGAAAGCCAGTTACTCAAGCACAGTGCATCCTTGCCCCTGCAGGGGCTCACGCTACACATCACTGAAAGCACACCGCATTCTAAGGCCCTTCTTTTAGACAGCATCTCAGCACTTTTAAATGAGGAAAACCAGGGAAATGGTACGGGACTTCAGAGCATCGAGGAAGCATAGTTGATTAGGGGCCAGTAGGAATTCCAGAGTCAAATTCAAATGCACAGTAATTAAAAAATCCAAAGACAGAGAGTCATTCAGCTTTGGGAGAACTTTGTCAGTGAACAACAATAACAAAAAAGAGCGTTATGTTTATATATTATTGCTTGTTTAAATGTTGCTTTATGTCAACTGTAGAGAGAGTCGTGGATTCGTCTCACCCCTTCCTCCCCCTTTTTCCCTCAACTATAGCAACTTCTGCAACAGCTCTGAAATGCTTCCTTCCCACCACATGCCTACTACGCAAATTGGGCTTCATTATCTTCCATGGGCCACTGCAATGGCTTCTTGATTGTTCTGCTATCTCCAATTTACTTCCTCTTATAAATGGAAAGGCTTATGGAAGTTTTAGTATTTGAGTTAAGTCTGGAAGGTTATACACAGTTTTTGAATAAGTATTTTTTACTAGTGGCATGGGTAGGGGATGACATTACAGGCTAGTCAACATGTTGAGCAAGGAAGGTGGAGTAGTGGGATATACGTTTTCCTATTGAATGGTTCCGGCTTTCTCTTTTTATAATGTGAATTTATTTCCTTTACAATATAAAAATAAAGTT